TAGAAAATGTGAAAAATAAGTAATAAAAGTAATGATTTCTGTGAATTATTTTTTAAGTCAGTTGAACCAGGTACTGTCAATCAATAACATTTGCTCTTGTCTGCTCTATATGCCATTCCCTTAAGAAAAAGATACTATTCTTTTTTACATAGGTTTATAATGGCACTGATTAACATTACTTGCATCATTTGCAGTTTGTTATTTCGAAACAGGATGTGTTATAATGACTATCATTTACAAAATTAACAAGGACGTGCTGTGTTGAATCATTTTAAAAATAATTTTTAAAACTCAATATAAACTCAAATAACTTTTAAATTGTTGTCATTTCTAAAAACTTTGTAAAAGTTAATCATTTTATAAGTATGTATTCACTAATATATTTAGTAATGTTACTTATTGTATGTGTTGCCACATATACATACAGGTAAAATATATTTATTTAATATAAAACAACAAGCAGTATAATTTTATAACTAGTAATTACTATAAATAATTATTAGATGTATGCGACAAAACTATTTGTATTGGACCAATCAAGGCATTCCCGGTCCCACCCCTATACCATTTTTTGGTAATTTCTTGGATGATTATTTTACCCAGCATCATTTATTATTAATAAAATGGTACAACAATTACGGAACCATTTATGGGTATAAATACAAAATACATGTTTTGAGATAATATTAATCAGTTTTCTATACCTATAATGTTATTATGAAATGTTTATGATTAAAAATGAATCAACCTAATTTATATTGATATGATTTTGATATAATTCATAAGACAATGAGCTTTTAAACCATTAAATAATAGCACGTATAATGGTAAAATGCCCGTGCTACATGTAGCGGACCCGGAATTGATCAAGGCCATTATGGTGAAAGATTTCCATTTGTTTGTGAATCGCCATAAACTCATGAAAGCCGGCAATTCTGTGACGAAACACAATTTGAATCATTTGATTGGCGAGGAGTGGAAAAGGGTTCGCGCGATAGTGTCGCCGACATTCAGTTCCGGCAAAATGAG